TAATAACAAATTCAACATGCTAGCATTGTTTAAATATATAGTCTATACATCTTTAAATCGATTGTATTCTGTGTAGTGTGTGTGTGTGTGTGTACGTGACCATGTGACCCGTGTGACTCATACACGCTAGCAGCGAGCGCGCAGTAGCAGCGTAATAAGTAATAGCGAACGATAGTGTAAGTGTAGCCAGTGTAGCATGGTGTAGCATTATCGCGAGGGTGGTGGTTGTTGAATTAAGTTAATTGTCAGCCGTATGAAAATAATTGAACGCGTCCAATCGTTCGAGGAAAATCGTAAACAAAAAGATCATCGCTCATAGAGCAAAATGTTTCGCAGTTCGCAAAATTTTGACAAATTATTGGGTAGGTTATCTCTCCTTCGTACCGAGCGAACAAAATGTCCGACTGTCGGATTTGAAATTCATTTTTACAGACAAGGCCACGACTAATTTGAAACTCGAACCGGACTGGAATTCAGTAATACAGATTTGCGATGCAATTCGCCAGGGAGATGTACAGTAAGTCCGATATCATTGTTTAACCTAACCTATCCTACGTGAGTTTAACATATTGACACGCAATATCAATGATCCCGATACAGATCAATTATTCACATGTTTCTCATAACAATCACTACTCTATCTTACGAGCTACCCTTGATTTAGCATTAGAAATGTATTAGATTAATGGAAAAATTGCATTATGTGCATGTTAACAGACCTAAAACAGCACTTGCAGCCATCAAGAAGAAACTGTCGAATTCAAATCCGCACGTAGTTTTATATGCTTTATTGGTAAGTAAATGTTTTATTGTCAAATGAATCTATCTAGTAATATCTAGATAGCTTTATTATAATTTTATCTGCTGACTATAAAACTTAATATCCACCCTAACACCTGCACATATCCAGCCACAATATTCATACCATATATCAGACTATAAATTATTTATATTTGTTTACTTAAACAGTCTACTTAATATCTATCCTTTTTTATTTCTCTATTTCTTATCTTTGGTTTCATATTATTGAGTTCTCTATATTCTTTTTCTCTTCTTTCTGGTCTTCCTGTAGGATCTTTTCGTTATATCTTTCGTAAGAAATACCTTTTAGCCTTATATTATATCTCCCTGCCTCTTTTATTTAACATTTTTTTAATATTCTGCCATAAATTAATATTCCTCTCCAAGCTTGGCTGACTCAACCTGTTCTTTCTCAGATATTCTCCTTCCCTTCCACATCATGTTTATAACCATTAAGACATTGTTTTAGCAACTTTCCTCTTGTCCCATTCTGATTCCTATTTTCTTTTTCACTGCTTTCTATGTAGGTTTTGGAATCGTGTGTTAAAAATTGCGGTACATTGATACACGATGAAGTTGGTACTAAACAATATATGGAACAGCTCAAAGAATTAGTAAAGTCTACATCGCACGAAGACGTTAGACTCAGAGTACTGGAGTTGATACAAGCTTGGGCACACGCATTTAGAAATATTCCTAAATACAGAGCAGTGCAAGTAAGTTTTCTAAATAATACATGTTTTGTATTTCACTTGAACTTGTGTTAATGATGATCCTACATACATTAGGATACGCTTAATATTTTGAAAACTGAAGGATACTTCTTTCCTGCTCTGAAAGAAAGTGATGCTATGTTTGTCGCTAATATTGCTCCAGCATGGGCTGATGGCGATGTCTGCCATCGGTGCCGAACAGAGTTTGGGATTATGCAAAGGAAACACCATTGCAGGGCATGTGGTCAAGTATTTTGTGCTCAGTGTTCAAGCAAAGTGTCCACTCTGCCCAAGTTTGGAATTGAAAAGGAAGTCAGAGTCTGTGAAGCGTGTTATGAACAAGTTAACAAGTGAGCCAATTATCTATTTTCACATTACTTTTTTATATTGTACCTCTAGCATTTTCTTATTCGTTCTTATAGGCCATCCGCGCCCCAAATTAAAGAAGCAGATTTACCTGCTGAATATCTTAAGAGTCCTTTATCTCAGCAACAACAAGTACGTAATTTGAGAATAGAGATATGAATAGTAAAACAAATAGAACCGAACCCAAACTACGTTCGCCTTATTTAGGTACCACCACGAAAAACGGCAGCAGAATTGCAAGAGGAAGAAGAACTTAATCTTGCTATAGCTCTAAGCCAAAGCGAAGCAGAGCACCAAGAGAAAGAAAAGAAACGTAGTACTCGAACTGGAAAAATAACCGCGCCTAGCTCGAGACCCATAAGAGCATCTTCGCCGCCGCCATCACCTGTTAGTTTCTAAATACTTATTATTCCGTAAGAAGAACAATCGATAATATTTATGTTTTTCAGCAAGAAGAAAACGAGGTTGATCCCGAGCTAGCAAAGTATTTAAATCGCAAACGTTGGGAATTGAGACAAAGTGCGCTAGAAGAGCAGCAGCATGGCTCTAGAGTGGATGTTACAAGCCCTTCTGCTCCTAACATTGGCAGTCCGATGCCACAGAAAGTTATCATCGCGAAACAGCAGAACGGAGAAGTTGATACTCAGATGGAAGAATTTGTCGCTGCTTTGCGTTCCCAAGTAGAAATTTTCGTTAATAGAATGAAGAGCAATTCGTCGAGGGGCAGATCGATTGCCAACGATAGTTCTGTGCAAACTTTGTTCTTGAACATTACTGCCATGCATTCAAGGTTTGTTTTAGAAGATATTTGTCAATTATCAAAATTTTCTACAAGTCCACCATTTTCAGATTACTGAAATACATTCAAGAACAGGATGATAGTAGAGTCTATTACGAGGGGCTTCAAGATAAATTGACTCAGATCAAGGATGCTAGAGCTGCGCTGGACGCGTTGCGAGATGAACATAAGGAGAAATTAAGGAGACAGGCGGAGGAAGCGGAAAGACAGAGGCAAATGTTGATGGCACAGAAGTTAGCGATTATGCGAAAGAAGAAACAGGAGTATCTGCAGTACCAACGTCAGCTTGCTCTCCAAAAGATTCAGGAACAGGAGAGAGAAATGCAAATGAGACAAGAACAACAGAAGCAACAGTATATAATGGGTAGGTTTAAATAAGACTAAACGTGATTCTCTTTAACTTAACGAGGTATCTTTTAGGTGGCTATCAAGCTGTGTCTGGATTTATGGGACAGTCTCAGGGTTCGCCGGTTCGTCACGTTCAGTATCAAACACCAGGAACTACCTACAATCCTATGTCGCCCACAAATCAAGGATACATGTACGGGCAACCAACGATGAAGCAATATCCTATGCAACCATATAACATGCCACCTCATGTCATAGGACCAATGCCTAATCAAGAGCAACAACCGACTGATCCTTCTGTTCCAGGACAAATGAAGACAATGGTTAGTATAGTCGAAAGTTTCTCCCATGCGTTCAAGTTCTTTATAGCTCTCTAACAAGGGAATATACCGAACGTGTGATTCTCTAATTTTCATGAATCCCTTGTAACTAATTGATTTAATTTACATTTCTTTTGAAGATGTCTCAAATTCAAACTCCTGTACCGCATCTTCAGCAGACAGGTGGACATCAAATGGGACCACCGCCATCGCAACAAGGTCCCTCTCCGAGTCATATGACGCAATCGCAGCCGACACCGGCACATATGCCACCGCAACAGGGTGGCCCGCAAATTACACAACCGGGACCACTGAATCAAATGGGTATGCTTCAGGGTCATATGGGCCCTGCGTCTGCACAAATGGCACCTCCTGGAGCTCACGGACCTCCGGGGCAAGTGGTCATGCCAATGGGTCCGCAACAACAATCGACGATTCCGGTAGTTCAAGGGCCAGCGTCCATGCAACCTCACATTTCGAATACTCCGATTTCATCCCAGGGGTCTGCCACCATTCAAGTGCCTCCGGGAACCACGACTGTATCAATGTTACCATCGAATCCGACAATACCAGGCCCTCAAGGACCGCCTGGTATTGCGACGATACCAGGCATGGCACAGGTTCCGGTATCTCAAGCTCAACAGATGCAATATCAATCGCAGACCACTACACCGGCTGCACCGAACGAGTCGCAGCAGCAATCGAAAGAAGAGACTAAACCTGAAACAGCTGAACTGATTTCCTTCGATTGAAAGAATTACGCGTGCTAACTCAGACTAAGAAGTGAATTTAAGGTAATCATTTAAATTGGCATTTAGGTTCTTTTGATTTCGTGATGAAATTTTATATGTTTTAACGAATGATATACTTTTTAAACTATTGTACACAGTTCAGTAATATTAATTCGAACTGTGCTACATTTACTTAAAACAATAATGTTTTTGGGATATAATAGAAAGAAACAGTTATCTCATTGTTGGTATTTATTTTTCGTGTTACAGAAATTTCCAACAATATATACATAAATTAAATACAAGACTTTGTTGCATAGTTATGGAACATGTATCTGGTGAAAGGTCGTTTATTATTTTTGAATAGTAAAAACATACAGTTTAGGTGTATACGCGTCTAGGCTCGATGTATGTACAAAATATTTATGTTACATAGTGTAAAGAAACAAAAGGAAACGAAGTTTACCTATACCTTTAACTGGATATATAACATGTTCTTTTTTACAAGATTGATTTCAAAGTGTTGTCTTCCCTATTAAAAGAAAAAGAAAATGACAGGACCTAATTTTCAAAGTCATTGTTTAAAAAGTACTTAGAGTAAAATCTCTTTATCACATCAATCATATATTTATCTCCCTAACTGAATATTGCATTTACAATTTCAATCTTTCTCGTTTTTCCATAATTCCTAAAAAGAATTCCATTTGACTTTGTTCTTCTTTCGTACAAATTTATTTCCCCGATCATACTGTTTCCACCTGACCTTTCCTACGTGGCTTTACTTCTTGCGGACTGGTAAAAGATGTTTCTTCCGAATGTTTTCTGATCACAGTCGATGATTCACCATTAGTTGAACAAGCAGACACTTGACCATCCTTCTCCTCTGGACAAATATGTGGTATACTTAAACCATTGGAAGTCAAAGACGCCTTTCGAAGACGCATATCTTCCAGTGGAATTTCTTCGCTCCGTGGTCTCGGCATTTTCGGCGAATTATCCCGAGAGCGTAAACCGTTTTCATGACCCTTTTCATTTGTGATGTTATCGCCACGTTTCGTAATCGTCGCCGATAGACTCGGAGCAGGTCTTGTTGCACTTTCCCTACGCATCTGTGCTGCGAATCCAGGGACTTTATTAACCGTAAACATTGGTCGCGATTGATGCTCTCTTTGCCTTTGCCCACGTCCAACAAGTCCTGTAATGTTAACATTGTACTCAAATAATCTTATCGTTCAATTAGGTTAATTTATAAATTTAATTTATTCTTTAGCAATTTATCTTACGTTCGTGTCGAAAACTACGTAACGCATAATTTGGAGGCGTTGAGGAATGAGGCATATTGGTAGGTATGTCGAGTAATCTCGCAATCTGATTCATTTTCTTCTGTCGTGCTTTTATTCTACCTTTTGTTAGCCTGTAATTTAAAAAATTCGGTTTTCAATTCAATATGCGATAACTGACATCTGTTATAATCTGTAAATTTACCTTTGCTTAGCGGCCATACATCTTATATGATCATCGAAAATGAACTTCGTTGATAGCAACGGAACACGATTCCCGGTGCTGCTACTCAGAGGCTTGTAAATTGTTAAGTGCAAGCACCTGGAGTCATCCTTATCACCCGCTACGTCGATGTCCTGTAGAAAACCTACCAATTTTGCCACTCCCCAGCCCAATTTACTAGTATCGGGCTCGACAAGAATTAGTTGAAATAGATCGATGACTAGAAAACGGCGGATCTTTTGTCCGTCTTTCCACACAACCGTGCACGCGATTAAATCGCTATTATCTGTAGAATAAGAATTAATTAATTTAATATTTTGCTGGACGTCGATTTAACAGTTGACAGAATAAAATGAGTTTTACTTAGGTCAAGGACATTATCGACTTGAATACAGTTCGCCGGATTTGTTAACGGCAACTGTGTTTCCGGCTCCACGCTAAGAGTCAGGGACAGGTCTCTTATTAAAAAAAATACTCTTATAGCACGTCGTGCCCTTTCGACCTGTGCAACCATTAATTTCATTCTCTGTTAGTAAATTTAAATGGTTCAGGTTCTAAGATAAAAAAAAAGAAATGCATCTTCGATTTACTTACTTCGCCACACGGTAGTCGCTTTGTAAATTCAATTCCCGTCATCGGTGTTCCCGTTGGCGGTAACAAGATATTGCTATCCATCATTAACCATTCTACGTTTAAAGGTCGTTTCTGAATCTCGCTATATTCATCCTCGAACATATCTAGGAATATATCTTCGCTCTGCAAATTGGATAAGAGTATTATTTTCTTTTACAAATAATTCTCGAGTCTTACGAACAGACGAGTCCTAATAACAAACCTTATAAAAGTTTTTCAATAACGATGTGCTCTGTTCTTTGGCTGCTTCAATCGCTGCCAAATGCGAATCTTTTAACATGTTTTGTCCGTCGGACATTACTAATTGTATTAGCAATTTAATTGCCAATTCCAATGTGACCAGTCTTACTTTAGCATCTATCGAAAAATATTTCGTAAATTCGTGAGTGATGAAAAATTAACAGCGGTATTTCTGGAAAGGAACTCACTTGTTTGACAACTTAATGTTATAATATGAATTAGTCTTTCTATTAAAATTTCGTTATATAAACTTGTCGTCGCATTTCGTGAATTGCATAAAATTGGGTCCAAAGTTTTGCGATCAATGCCCTGCAAAAAATATTTCATTGAAACAAATGCGCAATTTGATTAGGCGTCATTAAGTTGAGAAAGTCTACCTGATTATTAACTAAAGCGTACAGTAAACATAGCGCAAATAACGCTGCATAATCGTTTTCCGTACAAAACAAAGAATTTAATATAGTTTCTAGGAATGGTTTATTGGACAACGATTCGTTCACATTTTTTTGCGTTTGCGGTGTCAAGGGACTTTCCAACGCTAATCTTTGTTCCTTTTCTTCGTCAGTAATGTTTAGGTGCTTCATTTCTTCTAAATCCTCAGCTGGAATGCTCAAGTCTAGTTGTTCTGTATTCATGATTTCAGACATATCCGTCAAAGCGGTATCAAACGATGTGCTAGGATTAGTTTCTAATTCTTCACCCCCGATTTCATTGCTGTTTTTTCGTTCTGCCGAATTACCTTCTTCTTCACAAAAGTCGTCTGACATTGTCAGCGATTCGCTCAGATTTTCAAGAGATTTTTCTAAACTCTCTTTCGGTGGTGAGAAGGCAATCGGCTTGTCTGACGAGATGTCACCGTACATCTCAAGCAGTTTACTCGCCCCAGTGTGTATTGTTTCCAAATCCGAGAGCAGTGTTACTGCCGCCAACGTGTGTACAAGGGGGCCATGAGAGATTATTAAAAATACTTGTGAGAGTAAGAACAAGGCTACAACGATGCTCACATGCTTCCTCTCTTCCTGCGAAGCCAGAAATATAAATTGACATCGTATCAAACGATCCTGTCAATTATTAATTCAAATATATACCTGATTTTGGCACAGAAGATTTTTATGTCTCATAAGTGAATAAACATAGAGTGGAACTAACAATTTGTGAAGCAAATGTTCTGATAAAACTTTGTTTAAGTCCGGTATATTCAAACACAGAATGTCATTTAAATAATGTAAATGATCCAGATGCTCTGCGACTAAATCTGATAATCTATTTTGACTCTGATGACTGAAACACACGTACATTATAAAGATGCGTAACTTTTTAATAGAATTATTTAAATCGTAGTTTGAAAATGACTTACTCAGCATCATTTCTAACGCAAGTGTCAAGCTCTATAATGTGATTACCAATAAACCATACAAGATTGCTGAAATAGGGTGCAGCAGTGCGATCTCGTATAAACGCTAACATGGAGGCGTCTTCTACTCGATACACGTTCAAAGTCAACGTTCGCACTGCTATACGAACCATTCCTTCAGAGTGATTAAAAAATTTAATTGCCTCTGTATACAATGGAAAATCATTGGTGTGCTGATAAAAAAAAGAATCAAATTAAAACACACCCCTTTTTTTTCGAGTGCTTAGTGCAGAATTTAATGAATGACGATGACAATTAAATAGGACGAATGATCACAGTAAAAAGCAGAAACAAAAACAAGCCTATAGACATGGTTAAATTAAATGATATCAAAATCAAGAAGAAATCATACATATATATATTGTTAGACAGCTACTATTAAAAAAATTAATGAGTATGAGATTATGTCAAATGTGAACAAATAGACACAGAAGATTATCACGTGTACCTCGTTTACCTCGTTATAAAAGAAATGAATGGTATGTGCATTCAACTTCAAGCTTAATGTCTTTAAGAAACTAATATAGTATGCCATCACCTCCTCGTCGCTAAAATCAAATTTGTGCACAATTATACTGTTCACGTGATTATTACTAAGTAAGTAATCTAGAAGAAAGAACTCTCATTAGGTTGAATGCAATCAATCAAAATCTCGATCGGTCTCTCAATCAACTTACACAAAGATGTTTCGTTACGTATATTCTCAAATAATATGTTCAAGGTTTGCAGTAATTGAACACATACATAGCTTCCACATTTTTGTTTCATTATACGTAGAAAGAATGAAAGCATATTTTTCTCCAGGAAGAAACTAGTGAATACAATATATACAGTTATATTATATGCAATAATTGGATAATTTTTATTAGTTTAATTCTTGCTGGGCTTACTCGAATACACTGCTATCATTTTGGTCGCCCCATATTAAAATTTCAGCTATAGAACGAAGAGTCTCTACCAGTAGACCTCTATTATTCTCAGAAACAGTTTGATTCTTTGATAGGATATGGTATAAATACCTGTAGATGGGAATGATAAAATGTACAAATAGAAGGGATAGGGCAAAGTCGAAATCGTTATACACGTACTTGAGATGCTCTAAAGAGTGAGGGTTTTTGGGTTTCCAAAGCCCTCCACCAAACCAGCTTCGGCTTCGAAACATCTTTTTAGTAGCACAATCGTATTTGGGTGGTGCCTTGCGTTTGATTCATCCTTTGGCTTATCGCACTTTTCTTTCCACTTTTCGTCAAAGGGACATACTGTCTGTTCACGTTATTAAAATTATGCAAAGTGTCTCTATTAATCAATCGACGAAGACTTTTAGAAAACGCTAGAACGATTGTCGAAATTGTGAAGGAATTTTGTACATTCTTCAGGTTACATTTATCTTCTCAGTATTCATTTTTTTTTTTCATTCCCGTCTCTTCTCATCCTTTTAATTAGTGTACTTCTATTGACGAATTTAATTACATCTTCTAATATATTTTACTTCTCGCATTACACTTCGAAATACCGTTTATATCACGAACGAAGAATTTTGCACGACACAAAACGAAGTCTACTACCCTCCATTACCCAGCGGACTATGGAACCACACGTTAGGTTAGCATTTAGTCTCGTTTCTTGTTATTATTTACCATTTTTAGACACGTTCAAAAAACGTGATACGTGTCAGGATAATACTTTTTGTAATAAGTTGTTGAATTACGTAAATGTGAAGGGCCAAGAACTGCGACTAAATGGAGAAAGCGTGAACGCAGTTCCGCAATATTTGATTGTTGAACAGTGAACAAGATAAATACCTACGTGTTTAGACGTTTATAGCGAGAGAAATCTTGTATGGATCATTAATGATGAGAGTGCTAGAATTATATAGTGGTATTGGTGGAATGCATTACGCTCTTCAAGGTGAAATATTTTATTGCCAATCATTGGTTAACCTGACCTTCATTCTTGAGTCTTACGTATGAATTACGTATTTTTAAATAAACAAAAGGGCAAATTCCTTAGACAAATTTTTCTGTTTCCAGAGAGCGGTATTAAGGGCGAAGTTGTTGCTGCAATCGATATAAATACTAATGCGAACAGTGTGTACAAGCACAATTTTCCAAATGTATTCCTTATGAATCGTAATATACAGTCACTGTCTGCATCAGAGATAAATGATTTGCATATAGACACTGTGTTAATGAGTCCTCCTTGTCAGCCTTATACGAGAGTAGGACTTCAAAAAGATATATTAGATAATCGATCCTCTTCGTTGCTTCATGTTCTTTCCTTGATTCCACAAATCAAAGCATTAAAGTATATATTGCTTGAAAATGTGAAAGGGTTCGAGAAGTCTGAGATGAGAAATGCAGTATTGAAATGTATTAGTAATTGTGGGTTTAGTTACCGGGAAGTAATTTTAAGTCCATGCCAGTTTGGTATCCCGAATACCAGATACAGATACTATCTATTAGCTAAAAGTAAGGATCTGAAGTTCTGTTTCGATCAGTGTGCATTTAATTTGCCAGACGTTGTCTTCAAGGCTTTGCCGAAAAGTAAACATAACGTGTTGGCAGAGAAGGACTGTGCCCATAGACGTAATGCAAATAAGAGTTGTTACACATTAGAGAATATTCTACAAAATGTTGAAAGTAACACAGAGTATTTAATACCTAAAAAGTTATTAGAAAAGAGAGCTTGGTTGTTAGATATAAGAACATCTGAAAGCGATGGTTCTTGTTGTTTCACGAAAGCCTACGGTCACTATGTGGAAGGAGCGGGTTCTGTATACTCTCCGTGTTCTGAAGAAATGGTTAAAGAAACATTTTTGGAAGCAAGTAAATATGATAAGCAGTCGGTCGAAGTCTCACAGGTCCTGGAAAAATTACAGTTGAGATACTTCACGCCGATGGAAGTCAGCAGATTAATGTGTTTCCCGGAAGAGTTTATGTTCCCAGGGCATATAATACGTAAACAGAAATACAGGCTACTGGGAAATTCAATCAACGTGCACGTTGTTAGTAGATTGATATTTTTATTACATAACGAAGAAAGAATTACATGACCTTATACACAAATATATTTTACATATATTTTTAGAAAGTGTACCTTTTATTTCGACGTGCAGTCAAAAATTCCTAACAATGAATATACTCTTCGCAGAAAAAAATAATATAAATGTCATGAGAGATCGAATGAAGGAATGTAAGTGAATGCAGATATTAAGAGCTCCCCGCATTTTGCATTCCTTTAGATTAAAATTATTCTATGTCTATCTTTTCATCGATATATCGGGACGAAAGCGATCTAGTTTGTTATGCTTGTTAATAATTTCACTCCTGTTGAAACACAGAATTGTACAGCGTTAAATCGTTTCTAGTTCCGGTGGAATGTGTATCTTTTTCTCTGCTGCAAATTTCTTCAAAGCCTGATACTTCGAGTGCCAGGATTCTATTTCTTCCCTCATGCGATTATTGTCTTCCTGCATAGCTTCCATATCACGGTACTCCTGAGTTTTCTCAGACTCCAGTTCATCCTTCTGCTCGATTCTCTTTATACGGCAGCTAGCAGCGTATCCTCTATTCTTGAGTGTACGTCTCCTCTGCTTCATACGTATTATTTCTTCTCTGGATAAACCACGAAGTTTCAATTGCCTGTTTAAATCTCTGACTGATATAGTAACCAATTCATCGTCACTGATATCCAAACAAGGGCCAGGTGATAGTGGATCCTGAGTACCAAAAGCATCGAATGTCTCATAGTTTAGAGAATGGTTAATCTTCTAACTAATTAAGAGATTTCTTTCTAAGAATGCTCGAACTTTTCAAATGTACGTAAAACAATGCATGCATATCATAATGTACATAAAACAAAAGACTTCAGTGTATGCTCCACTAATCGATTTAACGAACTTACCATTTTTATGGATCGCCTTCTTTCCATTTACAGTTTTCCAACAGAATTTCTCAAGTCTCGGCGTCGTAAAACCAGCAAAACCTCAATTTTCCTCTGGCTTTCTCGCTTTGAAGAAAAATCTGCTTAGTCATCTTACTTGAATAGTGCGATTCAGTTCAGGGCAGCGCATGATTCAGTTCGTCATTTGAGTCGATATTTTCCTGCAAGCATATACTATAGACCAGTTGTTTCCCGAGCGATTTTCTGGCCAATTAATAATATTGACATTTTAGAAAATTCCTTTTCATTTCAATTTCAATAGAAATTAATAACGAATTTCCAATATATAATAAAATATCCTTTTAATTCTTCAAATGTTGTAGATGGTGCTTGTGGACGATGAATGAGATTCTTAGTTGTGTTGTTACTCAACAGATGGTTACTCTGCCTCTCTTGTAGCCAGCAAGGGGGTTCTTCGAAAGTCTGTGCGAACAATTATTGTATCTTGTGCTAGTTTTTGAATTAGTTTAATAATTTAACTTATTTAATAACGTGGGTGACAAGTGAGGCTTCTACTACTGTTGGCTTAATCGCCCAAGTTAGGTACATGGCGTAAGAAACACCGTGAAACATTAAATTATGAGTTTATTTCTGAATTGTATTCATGTCAGTAGCAATTGCTCGCATAATAGATTCGAATCGTTCATTAATAATTCAACTATTTCTCGATTGATATTGCGTGAAACAAATTTTTCATTCGTTCAGCACTTCAATAATATTTATCAATTTCTTGTTTTCATTTTGTTCCAGATTCTGTGCTGTTATATCATCGAACAGTAGGAGAATGGCGGGACTGGAGAAATATAAAAGCTGGCTTGTCGAGGAATGTTTGCCTGATAACACTACAGGTAAGTTACAGCAATAATTCATAAGTAGAACGTAAAATACATTTTTTAAATCTAATAAAAAGAGAGAGAAACAGATGTAAGAAAGTACTTAGTAGAAAAAACATTGTTTTAAGATATAACAATTTGACACACACATAATTTTACATACAAGTAATTAACATATATAATTTTTAGTAAATGTATGAGAAGAGTTTATTCAGATTCATTAATGTTTCATTGAAGTTATTGAAACTTAAGTTTAAGTATTATTTAAATGAATAGATATTCAAAAATATCTTTATACATACGTAATTTTTTGTATAAGTGTGAAATCACATATTTTATTCCAATCATTAACTTCTTATCATCTCATCTCTCTGAAATTATTGAAACTTTGGTTTAGATATTGTTTCAATAAATATCAATTAGATATACAAAATATCTTTATAAATGATTTTTCGTACATATGTGAAGATCATCCAATATTTGACCATAACCATTAACTTCGCGTTAAAGTCAGTGAAACTTTAGTTTAAGTATTAGCTCAGAGTGGGAAAAAGGGACGGAATGGCGTTAACCAAGCGCGATGAACTTTTCGAAGCAAGGTATTATTGGTAGTGCTATATGATTATCGGAAAATTACCGTCCCTATAGGCGAAGGATCGATACGGACGCGTTCTTAACGCGCCTATTTCCTAGCCACTCGGACAAGTATATTAGTCGTGACATTTACATTTTTTTTTTATGTTTAATAATATATTTTTATTTATGCGCCCAGAGAAAATGAGGTATAAATGTATTGTTCTTTAGAACCCAGTTGAAAATGGAAATACCGAACTATAAATAAATCATTTGAGCTAAACTCGGTTTGGAATCGTTTATAACATTGAAGCGTGAAAAAATGTAGAATTCGTGTTGGAATTCGATACTCTTCGCGTTACTCGAATTCAGTTACGTCTGTATGGACTGCGGAGCTCCGACTCGATTGATTTCACCGCAAATAGAATTCGTCATGAGCATTTCCGAGTTTCAACTCCCTCGTGCAAATTCACTATCAATTATTTATTTAACCGCTTAACCGTGTGTAATTGGTTCACGTCTGCTTCTTAAAATTAATGATTTAAGTAAGGATGAGATATCCGAGTAGATTTTACGATATTTATTTGTCTCATGTTAGACTGTCTAAAAAATTAAACTTAGTTCGAGTGTCATCTGTGCACGAATAGCGCTCTATTAAACTTAATCTCTGTTGAAGTAATATTGGAGAGCAAGAGGGATGTGGTTGCGTTTCCTGTTTCTCTAGAAACAAACCAAGTTTCGCATCTCCTGTTCGTGTGGCTTTTACTCCAGCGAAATTGAATCAGCTGTTTTTCTCAATTCTTTGTAACATTCATTAGCACATACATTGAATTATTGAAAGAAAGGAGTAATGACTACTGATCTTAAATACCTACTCTCAGGATTAATCATTTGGCCAAGAATCCTGGAATGTCCAGATTTATTTATATTCTTTTATTAATTAAAATTTAGTCATTTTTACAATACATTAGTCTATTTTCTACTGTAGTGAGTGTGAGTTGAAAATCGAATCTGTTGTTTTTCTCAATTCTTCGTAACATTCATTAGCACATGCATTAAATTATTGAAACGTACAATTTAAGGAATAGAGATTCTAATCTAAATTGCAGTTCTTTATTTGATACCAAAGATTGGACTCTAGAAACGATACCAATCCAAGTCTCATCGCGTGATGTAACTGGAAACGAGAACCAATTAAAATTAAAACCCATTTAAATTAACACTCTGTTCTATCTATTTTTAAATGTATTTATGTTTATTTAAACATCGAGTAAGAGCGAAGTGAATAATTTTCGCTCTGAATTCAACAACTACGTTTTAAATTCCATTAGAGCTTCAGAAGATAAGAGACAGAAAAATACAATATGTTGGTAGGGCTATTCGTATGCCTAGACCATGGTTCGAGATTATCAGTCGGCTAGATACCACCTTGAGTGACGTTATTCAAACCTGCGCGACGATTTCCAGCACGATTATGTAATTAGATCATTTATAGTCGCAAACCACGAACAGGGAATAATTAAACTCGTGATATCGTCCAAATACGTCTAACGATCGTGTGAATTTGTTTCATTTTACAAATCGCCTTAACGTGACCTCGCCACGACACGTGCTATACTGATATAAATTCTCAACAATAGCTACTTTTATCTCTTTCGTTTTCAGGTTTTTCGTCTTAATAAAATAGTGTAGTGTTTGCTTTTTAATTATTCAGGCATTCTTAAATTCAGATTAATATTGACGTCTCGTAGATTGGCTGTGTATATTTTCCACATCCTTTAATCGTATCAAATCTTTTTAATGGCTCGACGATTTGTCGCATTGCGACTGATTGAATGTCCAGGTATTTCGGTTTGAAGCTGCGGCGATTGATTTGCGGCGTTCGCCAATGCCTTTTATTTCTACGCGAGTGCTTTGGGCAGAGAATGTGGGAAAAGTGCCATGCCAACGCGTGCAAAAAGATTAATCTTCTTTTCTTTGTTCTAAAAAAGAAAAACGTCGGACATAAAAGTATTAGACATTGCGTACGTTGCCACTTGATAGTATCGAGAATTCTCTACGTCGATTTTATTTGATTTCGATGAATCCATTTTATTATTAATGTAGTTCATTTTAAATTCCCGATAAGTTTACTCGAGATGCATTGACGACTCGGTCATTTCTTCGATCACAGACGTCTGGCTTCGTAGAAATCTTATGTGATCCACAGCCTTGGTCGGTCTATATTTCTAAATTTAATTGCATCGCGCGTCTTACAGTGTTGGATTGATTTCTACGAAATAATATTGACGCAGCGCAGTGGAAGCGGAAGCAGTTAATATAAAGAGCGTTTCGGTGTATCAATAATTCAATAAGCTGTTCTGATATTTACTTCTCTTAATTCTCATGGCGCTTCGTTTAGAGATAATTACATTTCGATACGTCGAGATTCTGTAATGAATAATTCCGTTCGTGGGTGATAATAATCGTACTCCTATTATTCAATTACCTATTATCTAAATTAAACCCAACACCGAATTGGCACAGAACTGTGTGAACCCTACATCGTTGCTGATTAAAGTTCAACAGGCATTAGATGTTGTTGTCAGTATTCTGATCTTCGTGTCATCATAATTTGCTGCATTCTAATTAAACATTTGCCCTTATCCATCGATACTGACAATTATTATCAAAAGTGTCTATCAGCTCTTAAAATTATTTTTAGAATTCTTCTATGAACATTTTCAAAGCATTGCCTCTTACGAAATTCATTTCACGTTATTACTCCGAGGGTCAAGTTCGTTGACTCTCGAGCCGAACCATTTGCATAAATCTCAGCCGGCTTATCGTGTTTCGCAATTCCTTGAAATACAAGAAGTCGGTCGGAATGGCTCATCGAGAACCTAAGTACAGTGTACCCTCATCATCGTCGTCGACGCCGGTGCACCGGTCGCCGTTTCGGCGTCCTCGGTCGTCCTCGGTGGTGCTCGGGCGTCGCGCCGACGTTCCCTCGCGACGCAGCTGACAGTCGGTGGCCGAGCATCGCGACGCGTGCATCGTTCACCACCCGCGTGCCACGCGAGACGCCTCTTATCCGCGGCACGCGACTTCAACCCCAAACGACGAGGGGGATCCATCGTGCGATAAAGAAAAGAGCAAAAGTAAATTTCACATACTTTTTTTTTATCAAACGTCGTATTCGCGATCTTTTTCCGAAGATTCACGCAAACTATGTGGGACTATGGGAAAGACGATTAGCCGCGACTGAGAAAAAATGCACAACAGCTGCTGTTTATCACGCGGACGACACTGATGGTCTGTATCGAAAAACACACGCGAAAAGTACGAAAGAATTTCTGCCGCCCGATTAGCGCGCGGTACCCGTCAGGGGGTGACTACATCGGAGCCACTCTACGAAGAGAAAATTACGGGAACACCGCCCCGGGATTCCGCGTTTTCTTTTAATAAATAGCTATTAAAAGGCTTGGTACTTTTTCATCGATGATAGGCACGTACAATTTTAAATTTTTATCTGAAGAAATTGGTTTTTCCCCTGCGATCGTTTCACCGCATTAAAGTTTATTTTTCTTGAACATATATATCGATATGATTTGCATACTGGTTAAATGCATTCAATTATTTCGACTGCACATGTTCATTACACTATTCAAATCTATAGGCGTGAAATGTTTCGTGGAGAAATTCAATTCGGCGGACTAGCAATTTCGTAAAGCTTGTTGATAGGTTCTATTGATATTTCCGGATTGGAGATTAAACAGTTCTATGTCTGAAGCTTTCAATCGATTCGCTTTGACGAGCCCTGTACATACATATGTTTCGTTCTACTTCGGTCTATAGTTGAAGCTC